GCAATTAGCAAAATAGAAATCTTGAATTACATTGTCAGAACAATGAAATTGTTTAATGTTTTCAAAAAACATAGTTGTAGTTGTTATTGATAAGAAAATAATAAATAAATAATGTATTGCACTATGTTTAATAATATTATATAGTATGTGTTCTTGAATTATTGTACATATTAGGGGATTTTTAATTAATCTGCCCTGGCATGAAAAACCAATAGACCGGCCCTCAGTGGCGGATCCAGAAAGAAAAATTAGGGCTAGCACAAATTCTTTTGGGGTTTGAACTACTAGAAAAAAAATTTGTTTCCAAAGGAAGTTCCATTACAAAATCGTCGCTAAAACCGGTGAATTTACACTAATTTTAAAATTATCAGATTTGTGATAGATTGCTTGACGGATTAGTGACGAATTTGGGACGGATTTCCCACGGATTTGTGACGGATTTTCGAAAAAAAACACAAAATTTACATTTGACGGAAAAATTGGAGGGGTAGTCCGGATTACCCCGAGCTACATAGTAGCTCCGCCCTGCCGGCCCTGGTTAAACTCGGTTAAATAAAAAAAAGAAACAACATCAAAGTCCTACATTAAATAAATAAATAGCTTCTAGAAAAATGGTTGGAGGCTTCAACATCATAAGAAGGAACTCTTTGAAATGGGTGCATGCACTATATATCTACAAAGAACATTTTATTACTATGATAAAAGTTTGACATGAAATATCTACAAAAATAATAATAATAATAATAAATAAATAAAAATTGTATTCTCGCCTTCGGATTTTCTAGTTCCAATTTTTTTTACTCCCTCACAAATTGATTATTTTCTCTAGGGTGTTTATGTAAGATTATAACTTTTTAATAACTCCAATAATTATATTTGGATACCAAAAATATTGGTTTTGAAGATAATGTGTAATTACTTAATAATCTCTAATTTACTAAATTACATTATGCTTATATAATAGAGATGAATAATTCGACAAGTCGGTAAGTTAAGTGACATGTCAAAACTGATTATTTTGGTTCAAGCCGAGTTGGGTTGTTATGAAACTATTGTTTCCGATCATAATATAAATTTTTAAAAAATAATTAGAAATTTGTATCTGTTTAAGATATAATTACGGTTACGTTAAACTTAGTCGGCTTGTTTAATATATATATATATATAATATTATATATATATATATATATATATATATATATATATAATATTATTTAATTTTAACTATTTTGGCCGTTTAAAATAAAACATAACCTAAAGACTAGACACATTAACAAGTGCATGAATCAAAATTATGATATTTGTTCTTGGGGAAAACACATTAAATTATTCAATCACTTATTCATTTATACAGGGTTACAATTATGTAAGTGTCAATAGTTCATTTTGCTTTTAATTATTCATGCATATTGATATGACTTACTCACTTAGTGTTTCGAACACTTACTAATCTCGTTTTTATCAAACGTCTTAGTATTTATCGTTTCCACATTTGTGGAGTAATTAGCACAAATCTACAGTGCCCTTGATATCTCATGTACCCTACCTTCCTCCTCTTGTCACACGTTACATTACGTGGGTGTTTAATGTTGTTTGTTTTTTTATAGTTGGATTTGTATATAGAAGTCAAATGTCTCCGTTAAGATTTTATTAGACCTCAAAAAAAAATAACTAAAACCTATATTTCTCTTAATGTGTCAGTTTCTTTTAATTTGGAGCTCTTAGTGTGATCTAATCGATAGTTAATTATAACTAAATAATTAAAAAAGTTAACGATGATATAAGAATAGGACGTATAAATAAGGAATATTTGTTAATTTAATCCTTTTTCAATCTATAAATGGTTTTGTAGTTAGACTTCAAAATTTAATTTCAGTTTCCCGCACTAAAAAAGAAAAGCAAATTGTCATTTATGCTTCGGCTTTCTTTTGTAAGACTCGGTATTTCCAACTCCTGAACGTTAGTTTAAATGATTTAATCGCTCTATATTTTTTAATCAATGAAAAAATTGATAAGCTAAAAAGTTCAAACTTTATAGATTGTTTGGAGCTTTTCAAGAAGAAAAGACTCAAAAATAGGCGTATGCCACTATCAGGCAGCGCGCACACGGTATTCTTTAGTAAAAGGCGAAAGAATAGTTCGCTTTGTGCTCACACATGGCTGCGTGCCTTCTCTTCTCCAGCTGCTTTGGTTATATAATGACTTCCAGCCCCTCTGTTTCCTCTAAGATGCCGATGTGGGATGCACTCCAACCACATTTTTTTAAACTTCTTTCCACCCAAACCTCACCTTTTTTTTTTTTTTGTAAGAATGATTCTAACTTCAACTTTTAATACTTTGAAAACTAAGATGGTTTGGATTTACTTTTTTTAGTGGTTTGTAAATGTTTTTAATAATACGATTTTTTACTAAAGACCATCCTCATTTTTTCTCAATAGAAGTATAATGAAATCAGTAAGCTGAGAAACATTGTAACAACGATAATGTAATGTAATGGTATAGTTTTCGTAATAATTTTTATATATTAATTATTCATAAAAAAATTTGAGTCATTTTAACTCGATACATAAAGATATTATTGGATAAAACAATTTAGAATGTTAATATACCATCATGGGTGATGGGGACTTTTAAGTTTAATATTACTTAAACTTTTATTTTCCATTATTTGATTGTTTGAGAGATAAAACATAACTAAATTTATAAATTTATAAATATACAAGTGAAGGGTCGAAATTGTCATATACTTAGTGAAATTAGAATCATGACTTTGGAAAAAGAAACCCAAACAGCCATTTTGCACGCTTCAAATGATTCAATCACTCATTCAAATGTAATGATATGAGTTTATGTTTTATGTAAACATATATACTTCTATGTAAAAAAACATATTTTGCATAAAAATATTCATTTATACATTTAAAATACATATTTATTACAAAAACTAAAATATATTTTCATCAATATACATATTATACATATAAAATTGTGTATTGTAAGTAAAATTATGTATGTGTATTTTATTATATGTATGGATGTGTATATTATATGAATACATACTAAAAATATGTATTTAAATCATTTACTTTAACATTTATATACTTATTGTAAATTTAAAGCACTACACTAATTATCAAAACTCGGTATGGTTCTACCATCACCGTTGTCATTATTCTCTTCTTTTAGATGACAGTATACTCTTAATCTACCTATCTAATAGTGAAACATTTTGTACTCGTGACATCTCTCTACATCCATCTTTCGATTATTTGTGAATTGACCATATGCTATTCGTCTTATTTTTCAGAATATAACTCCATATTTGTTTCCTATTTACTCCACGAAAATATTTAATGCACAATGAATATATTTGGTATACAATCCTCTATTTACGGAATGTGTATGCAATCATTTGCATCCAATCCTATGCATCATATGTGATTTCGGCAAAATAATAATAATAATAATAATAATAATAATGATAATAATAATAATAAACAAAACATCAACATCAACACCATTATACATTGCAAATACGATTAATAAGTATATTTTTACTTTAGAAACAATTCATGCGTATCATCAATAAAGAAAAAACTATAATTCATAAACAGTAATGGTAAGATTTTCTCATTTTACTTTCAAGCTTTATACCCTATTCCGGAGTTCAAGTAACAAGAGAACATAAGTTAATGTCATATAAAACACATTATCGAGGTTCTTAGTTATTAGTTGAATCTTCTTGAACATATCATTTGAATCACCAATTTGTACCCGACAGAATGTATGATTGGTATTTCAACGGATAACCAATCATACACACAAATGATGTAAATTAAAACTTAATTTCTTTATATCGTCCAAACATAAAGTCTTCATAATGTTATTTTAAGTAGCTTCACCAACTATTAATGGAGAAAATACCTAAAACAAAAAATTCTTAATCATAATTATAAATGTTTATAAATTTTTTTACCTGTGGTTTCCACGGGTTGTAACCTAGTTTTTATATACCACACCCTCTATTTCCAAAACAGGCGGAGAACGCATCATCTACAATCCATAGGTCTCAAGTTTGAACCCTACCTCGACATTCTTCCCATTTATTTCTAAGATAAAGTAGGTATTGTATAATGAAAACAAATTATAAGATTATTATAGAATAAATATAAAAATAAAAAATTACGATACGTATATATTCTTAGTTGGTTTAATCGGTTAAAATCGAATATCAAAATTTAAAATATAAAAACCGAACCAACGTAAACCAAAAACTGAATAATTCGAAAAAAACTAATAAATAAATAATTGGTTTTATTAAATAAATAAAAGAGTTCTTTTTAGTATTTAAATATGGATTATTTAGCCAATCAATAATTTTTTTAAGTTGTATTCCTTTCCCTCTTATATTTGGCCACATTCTTGCCCGTTCCCACTGGGTTTTCTGATATCTGGCCACGCCACTAGAAAAATCATATAATGATATTTTTTTAATTAAATAAAATATGTTAGGTTTTTGTGAAGTTTTATCTTAAAAAAAAACTATTTCGTTTTTCATATTTTATGAACATATTGGAAAATAAGTACTAAACATGGTCATTGTATGATATTAACTTTCTATTTTTGACCACTGAATGATTAACTCCATAAAAAATACAGCTTGCCGCATTCAATGGTTGAAAAAAGTAGAAAATTTAAATTAGTTAATGATAAAAATACTTAGCATTCTTTTGCAATCAACCCCTTACAATTTGTTAAAATTTACTAATTCTCACAAAAACAATGCCTTCTAGTCAAGTCAATATCACAAAACAATAATCCCCCAAGAACCATGTTCAATCAGAAACTTCAAAAACTGTTTCTTAAAACTATCATCATTCTCTTCTTAATCATACATCATTCCAAATCAACCCTCTGGCCTTTTGATTTCTTTGATTTTCGATCCTTTACGTTTTTCAGCTTTTCATGTCAACAGAAAGCCAATCCTTCCTCGTATTTGTCTACATTCTTTGGTTTTTTGGACTTTTTATTTCTTTTGAATGTGGCCCTTCATCAGCATCATCATCTTCATCTTCATCTACATTCTGTGATTTTTTGGACTTTTTTCGTTTAACAGAATGCGATTCATCATCATCATCATCATCATCTCTGTCAACATCGCGTGATTTGGATTTCTTCTTTTTGCGTTTAACAATTGGTGGCGACTCCTCATCTCTTTCTATTAGCTCATCATCTTCTTTTGGTTCACTTGGAGGACCAGAAGCTGCTGCAACTCTGTTCATGCAGATTGAGAATCAAAAAATGTGTGAGCTATTTTCCCTAATGGGGACGAGAAGGGCATTCACGTCTTTTGCTCATGACCAGACCCACCTTTTGGGTAAATTGCATATTTTCCCTAATGTTTTGTCTTGTCCTAAGTAATATGAGAGTGACTAACCTTCATCGTTAAAATGAGAATCGAAGACGACATTTGTGAGATGCTGCTTTAAGAAAACCTGCATTCATTCTCCAACAACTTAGAATACAATTACAATCAAAGTAGTAGCTAGAATTTCCTTTTCCAAACAAAATCTTTACAATCCATCCATCTTCAAACTATAATTAAATCCACAACTCAAAATGTTTAATGTGGAACTTTATGTAAAACCTTGTTTCATTTTAGGACCAAAATATGCAATCTGTTTAACCAGTTGAAACATGGTTTGCATATCATAATTCATATCAGTTGTATAAATCGGAAAAAATAAATTATTAAAGAAGTGGAATATTGTTACATAAATTGGTAAATGAGTGCATAAATAAGTACTATTCAACTGGTTTGAATATTTGTATGCCCTTAATGGTTAGTGTAACAACATACCGCAGAGAGTAGCTGCCTTGATTTTATATCCCATATGCGCAAATAGCTGTCAAGTCCTACAATACCATCAAAATTTGTAAGAAGGTAGGACTAAATGTCTAAATGGAGAAAAACCTCTTTTCACTGACTTTTTTATTAGGTCCTTTTTGTATAATTTAATTTCCGGATTAAACCATGTCCCAATTAAATCAAAAAGAAGTTTCCAAAGAAAATACCAAGACTGCAATAAATATGAAGGGCTTGAAAAAAATAAAAATAAAAACTCACCACAAGAAGCTATCACTGGGAGATCCGGATGCCTGGCTATTGATCTGATGCTTCCAGAACATTTCCCCAAAAGCAGCCCCAAAGTTTCCCTTCAGCAAAAAATTACCAACTTGAAATAAATTGCATTAAAACAAATGTCAACATTCGTTTCTTGGTCATGTCAAGAAAAAAATAAGATTACTTTTTCTGGACGGGGGAAGTAAATGGGACGAAATTACCCTTGTCTAAGAGAAATATTTTAGCAACCAATATAAGAAAAGTTTTGAGAATTGCATACCTGTGCGAATGTCAACAGATGCAAGATCACCAGATCCATTCCCAATGTAAATTGTATTGCCATCTTGATCTTCAGTGATTGCCTTAATTGGTGTCTCACGAAAATCAAATGACATCCAGGTCTTCTTTGAGCAGCCATATCATACAATCGTACCTACAAATACTATTTATTTAGACATCTATTCAATATATTCATGTTATTTCAACATATAAATAATAATGAACAACTGAATATTATATGCTTTCTTCAAAGGAAAGGACCTGATGGCTGTTGGTGCCTCCCACAAACTTGCGGTGATCATCTTTGCATAAAAATGTGGCTGAAGTAAACCAGGTTGGTGTAAATATCCCAAGGCTGTTTTTAGGAGGCTGCAGGGGCAAATAAGGAAAATTACATGGTGGAGAAATTGATAGAGAAGGCATTTGCCTATACCACTGTAAACATGCAAAAAAGAACAGATGGGCTTACTGATTTTGCTGTCCAGATTTTCGTATGTGTTGCAAGATCCCATATATTAACTTCTACTCCTTTCCTGATGTACAAAACATTTGTTATATCACAGTATTTGAAAGCCACTATATGAAGAATAAAATATAAAAAAAAGAAAAAAAAAACTAACCCTCCAAATAAGGCGTAGTTTTCATTATCATCCACTTTACAACATAAGACATTACCAGCTGCACACACATTCCATGTGACTTGATCATCGTCACTAGTGGAGTCCCTGGTGATTTTGGTAGTGTTAAAGATCTCAGGGTTGAAAGCCCTTTGTTGTGCATGTAAGCAAGGTGCATGACCTAAATTAAAACACAAGAGTATGTAAATGATCAGATTGTTACTTGCATATGAATTTGATATCATAACTAAATGGGAAAAAGAAGTAATGATCTTGACATATACCTGGTGGATGATGATTCAGATGTTTGTTTTTTGAACAAATGCAACCCAACAATATTATCTTCTTGAGACTGGACATCAGCTGGTTGCCACTAGGAAGTGAAACTCGAAGATCACCATTGATGGAGCTAATCAATTCAATCTATTTGGCAGGGAAAAGTATATATAGTGAGGGAACAAACAATGCAAGTGCTTAAACAAGAATGGATGAGCTGATAGATAGAACTTACCACACCACTTTTCCTTGCAACAGCTAACAGCTGCAAAATGTTGCAAAAAAAATATGATTAAAAACTGTAAATAGCAGTCCTCAAATGAAAAAATCATTACAGTCGATGTCTAATTACACAAGTGTCTAAAATTTTGAAATGAAATATCATATGGTGGAATTAGAACATACAGGGTCGATTTTACGGCATTAGTAGAGGCGGCAAGCACGCATCGAGAGGATTCCGGTTCACCCCATCTCTCGACCACCTTAGAACTCCTCCTAGCTTACTTCGTGCTTCAGTGACTACAATCATAAAAATACACCAAAAACTATGTGAACAATTCATGATTTGACAAATGCTTTAGCAATACAGGAAGATAAAATTCAAACGTAAATAAGCTAATATAGTTGAGTAAACCTTTGATGAGACCGAGAACATCGAAAGTTAGGGCGCGAAGTGGAGGACAGCCAGCAGATTCTACTGTGGTTGTTCGTGGCATTTTTCCACCTCTGAATTACAGCTTAGCTAATGATGAAGTACAGAAAAATACTTCACTAGGTGATGAGTAATTACAGAAGTAAAGAGAGGAAAGAGAGGTGAAGGGAAGACGAGAACTTACGTTACTGCAAAGGAGAGGTGGTGGGCGGTAGCGGAGCTGACGACGGCAGCCGCGGAATAGGTTTGTTTTCCGTTAACTGCGTTTTTTGTAAGGCTTTACACGAAAAAACCCTTTGGGCTATATGGTACATTTAGCACAAACGATGTAACAGACCCAGTCAATTAGGCCAACTAAAAACAACACCCAAGTCAATTAGGCCCAACTATGTAACAGACCCAGTCAATTAGGCCCAACTAAAAACAACACCCAAGTCCAGTGTAATCGTAATTTACCTCTTCTAATAAATGAAACCTAAAAATGACACATTTCAGTTTTTAGAATGTCTCTTTGACACGTGACATTTTTCAATGATTTTAATTTTTTTCTTTTTTTTTGGTAACAAATCAAATTCAATTCAAATTTTGAAAATACAAAATCATATCCTAATAACATTATTAAACTTAACAAATTAATTCATAATTACTTACAATCGACAAGATCTTGGTTTTTTTTTTGACATTTATTATTTTTTTATCTATATAAAAATTCTAGATATACCGACTGTGGTTTCCACGGGTTATAACCTAGTTATATATATTGCACGCTATCTAATCTTCTGTAATCAACAACACGTTCCCACTTTTCTTGTGACATGAAATATATGAAACCCTAATTGAAGAGATAGAAAGAAAAACGCAGCAATAGCTGAAAAACACTGGACAACATAACGAACACTACAATTGCTTTGATTCGTAACAGAGAACCTGAAATAACGCAAGCAATAGGATTTCTAATGAAATTGGAGTAGAATTTTTTTAAAGACAGGAAAGAGCATGAGAACAAACACTAGATTTGATGCAGTAAGAGGATTTTATGACGAAAGAGGCAAAAAGGAACACCCAATTGGTGTCTTAATATGAATCACGAAGTTCCGACAACCTAGAACGGCGGTCGGATCAAATCGACGCAGCTAAATGGGCTTCGATATTTTGGGCTGGACTGGAAGCCGACGCAACTGCCTACAGCTACAGCCTAAAGGCCTTGCATTTTCCTTTTCATGTGTTTAGTCTCCACGCACATTCTTACATAATTTGGAAGGTTATTCAATATATATTAATATATTATCAAAACTCATATATTTGTTTATTAGTTTATAAACGGTAAGGTAAATATAGTTATAAAATTAATTAAAATTTTCTAATAAAAACTCAAAATTATTAATCAATTATTTTAAATAAATTATTTTAAATAAATTATTAACTAAGAGATATTTTTTAGTTATATAAAATTATAATATTTGATCTAAATAAATATGTGACCTTATATTTGTATTAATTTTATTTTAATTTTTATTATAATATTATTCATTTAATGTGATTAGAGTGAAAATTTTGAAATTCGAAAATTAAAATTTGAAATAAAGAATCAATAGGTTGACAAGTGACATGACATTAATTAGGAAGTCTAATAAGATGATATACGACAAAAAAACGAATAAACCTATTCTTTCCAGCTTTGGTACTGACTCTATTAAGTACCTAATGAGTTAAGAAGTTAGTTTAACTCAAAAACATAATTTACGTGTTGTTGTGAAATGCTTTAATCTGTCCAAATATTTGAAAAATCATAACTCAATCATGGATGCTCATTTTTGGTTGAAACCAATTCTCGAAGTTTGGTATATGAGTCTACTTTGTTTCATTAGTTTTGGCCGAAAGATGAAAACAACTCTAACTAGGGTGAAAAATACGATTTTCACTGAATGGGTAGATTTTAACAGCTATGATACACAGTTTTGTAAAATTCATAATAAATTGTAGAAAAATCGTATGCACTTGTGAAAGTAGTCTGTGGAAAGCTAAGAGACAGGGCTACTGGATTATGAACTTATATTCATTTTTGACAGGTTTAAGTGGGGCTAAAGTAGTCTTGAACAGACCGCATTGTTTTGTGAAAAAAAAAGGTTGTGTTTAGTAAAAAACGAATTTAGAATTCCTGCATCAGAAATATAGTTTCATAATTGTTCAAATATAGATTTTAATTATGTTGAGTTTTGTCCAAGCAAGAGGCAAACATATTTTTTGTAGATTAGAATTCTAAACATTTATATTTAGTGTATAAATGATTTTAGAAATGTCACCATCCAAAGTGGAATGATTTCCGAAGTAAACTCTATGGATGCTAACTCCATTGAGTGATGGATTGATATGGGTGCTACACGCCATGTGTGCTCAAATAGGGAATGACTCAAGAATTATAAGGTTGTCCAAGTTGAGGAAAAAATTTATTCTTGAAATTGTGATTCTAAACACTAAAATTTGGTGTTTAAAACATTCTAGAAATGGTATAACATAGAAAAGAGCTAACACTTAATGATGTGTTGTATGTTCCATAGAAGAACTTAGTGTTTGGATGGTTTTTGAACAAACATGGATTTTGTTTGGTGTTTGAGTCTAATAAGTTTGTACTAACCTAAAAAAAGTATGTTTGTAGGCAAGGTCTATGAGGATGGTGAAATGTTTAAATTCCATATATTGGCTAATGAGCCTAATATCAATGAGTTGGATAACTCTTTCGTTTACTTGCTTAAATCATCTAACGTGTGGCATGTTAGACTTGGAAATGTTAATTTTGACACATTAAGACGGATAATCAAACTTGAACACATACCTCACTTTCATATAAGTCAAAATATGGATGCAACACTTGTGTTGAGTCGAAATTAATACACCAATCATTCAAGTTAGTTGAAAGGACAACTAAACCCCTTGGATTAATTCACATAAATGTGTGTGATATGAAGTCGAATACATATAACGGTGATATAAGTACTTTATCACTTTTATTGACGATTGCATTAAACTTTGATATGTTAATTTACTTAAAAGTAAATATGTACAAGTTTAAACTGTACAAAAGTGAGGTTGAGAATCATCTCAACAAAAAGAGTGAATGTGGATGTGAATATGCATAACCATTTGAGGAATTTTTGCAAGTCATGGTATTAAACATGAGCTTAATGCATGTAACACCCGATTTAGGTATTGGCTGGAAGTTGACAATTTGGAGAGGTTCATGCATGGACTCGGCGAGTTGGAGGACCAACTCGTCGAGTAGATTCGGGTATCTGGAACGCGGGACGGAGGTGACTCGGCGAGTCCGAGCTGTTTAAAGAAAACCCTAATTTTGGGGTTTGCCCCCTATATAAACATCATTATCCGCCCCAGTAGCCTCCCTTAGCACCTTAGAAGAACGTTTACGGCCGCACACCCTCTTGTGAGTGAAGTAAGATCAATTGGGAGCTTATCCTTGAGATTTTGGGGAGTATTCCAAGCTTGAAGAAGAAGTATCAAGGGGAAAACACTAGATATAGCATTTAGTCTGTCTTGGGCATTGATTTGAGGTATGAATCTGTTACCTTAAGCATAAATCTATTTGAGAGTTGTGACCAACTTTAAGGAAATGGAAGCAAGCCTAGATCTGGACCTATCACAAGGATATAGTTCCAGATTTAGACCTTTATAGGTCCCAATTATCATAAAGTTGCACCTTTTAGTGAGCTCATTCCCTTCCCATGCATGAAAACCTTGTTGAAGGTTAGTTTTTGTGATTATGGCCATGTGAGGCCTTGTATACACGTAAAGTTTGCAACTTTATGTGTATTCCACACTAGTAGAGTATAGATATGAAGTTTGGGACCTTGAGTCCCACTGGAAGAGGCCGTAAACATAATGTACTAATAGGGACTCGACGAGTCGTGCAAAAGACTCGGCGAGTCGAAAGGGTTCACGGCCAAGGGTTAATGGTCAGGGGTGTAAGGTTGGCGGTTTACGGCCGTAAACACCAAGGAACTCGACGAGTCCCTCGGGTGACTCGGTGAGTCGATGAGTTAAGCAGGGAACCCGACGAGTGAACGATTATACTCGACGAGTCAAGGTCAATATGGATTGTCGACCTTGACTATAGACTTTGACTTTGACCAGGGTTGACCCTGGGGGTATTTATGGGATTATGCTGAGTTATTTACTCATTGATTATAAACAGTTTGGGAAGAGCAGCATAGGACATACCTGAATTCAGTTACCGATTCAGCTTTGTGAGGTGAGTCTTCTCACCATACCCATGGGTCTAAGGCACCAAGGCCGGCCCATTATGTGATTTGATATGATATGTGATTCGTTATGATATGTGATTGTGTGTTTTGCATGGAAGACCCCAGGGGGGAACCCGTGGCATTGGATATAAGACCATGTGGGGTAGCCCATGGCATTCCTAGGTAAAGACCATGTGGGGGAGCCCATGGCTTTGGATGTAAGACCATGTGGGGTAGCCCATGGCAGTCCTAGGTAAAGACCATGTGGGGTAGCCCATGGCATTCTTACAGGTTTTATGTGTTACATGTGTAACTTTGATTAGCTAACAGGATATGTGTATGTGTGTGGTATGCTCTGGGGGACTCACTAAGAATTCGCTTACAGTTTTTGGATTTGTTTCAGGTTCATCTGAGTCCAAGGGCAAGGGCAAAGCTTGATGGCGCGGCGTGCACTCTCTCTCAGACGACCTTATGGGACACTATGATATTTGAAAAATAAAGTTGTAATGAATATGGATTTGAAACAATTGTTGTGGAATTTCTTGATTTATGGGAATGTGTTTGGTTAATTAAAAATGAAAATTTCTTTGAAAAAAAACTGGGTCGTTACAAGTTGGTATCAGAGCCTTGGTTTGAGGGATTCGGGCACACTCTCGGGTGTGTCAGGACTCAAACTAAGGAAATGATAATTGGTTTTCAAAATAAAAGTTAAAAACTTCGAAGGAATAAAAAGAAGAGAGTGCAACGCGCGCGATCGACCGAGCCAACTAAGTATTTCCCAATATGTTAGCCATGTTATACTGATATTTGAACTTGATAATCGTATGAGACTTGCTATGTGTATGCTTTTAAAATTGTATACGGTTAGGAGCTTATAGTCTCAGAATGATTGATTTGGCCTTATTTCCTGTTCCTTGTTTGGTTGTGGTCCTAGGGTAGAATCTTTTATTCAAAAGACTATTTGATCCTTTTTGTGTATAATTTGCATGCATAAAGGCAACCGGTTATGAGTGGTT